GTAGAAAAGGTGAGGAATGAACCTGTCCTGGTGTGTCCACCCTTACGAAGCCAAAAATACACGCCACCTGAAGATCTCCAGAGTCGTTTGGAATCTCGTGTTAAAGAAGTTTTTGGTTCATCTCTTCCTAATAATTGGCAGGACATCTCTTTGGAAGATGGTCATCTGAAGTTCAGTCTCTTGGCATGTTTAGCTGATGACTTGGGCCGTGCAGTGCCTAACTCTAGGCTTCACCAGATGTACAGGGTCAGAGATGTTCTTGATTTTTATAATGTCCCTGTTCAAGATAGATCTAAATTTGATGAATTTGCTGCCAGTAATCTGCCTCCCAATTTGAAAATCACTTGGAGTTACTGAGCAATTCAGAAGAGGAATCATTATTTTCCCTGAACATGGGGACTGCTTATTAGACCTTTTGATACTTTACCATGTGAAATGCTATCAGAACTATTCTCCAAATCTACTTTTTCTGTAGAAGAATGCATCATCTTTTTTTTTCTCTTGTGTCTTGAATTGAGGATTCATTTTCACATTTGCTGAAACCACTTTTTTAAAAGTGGAATTAGGTCATTAATAATTTATAATTTTTTTTTCCTACGGAGGACACTATAATTAACTTGTGCTTAAGATAGGAAGCCATTACAAGTTGAAATGTGATCCTTTACCCTTCATAGGAGTAAAGTAATAGTTGCTAGAATATGTTTTAATCCTGTTAGGACTCAAATCTAAGAATATATAGCACATATAAAAGTAAGGGAACTTGTACAAGATTAGATATTTATAAAAGAAACATAAAAGTCTGTGTTATGTATTATAGAAAGTTGTTTCTTTCACTGTAGAAATAGAAATGAGATTGCATTCTGGATCAATTTCTTCAGGAATTAAAGCAGATTTCTCAAAGTGTGTGCGTTTAATTTTTTTTTAGAACTGAAGTTTGCTTTCTCTGCTTTGCTGTTTTCTAAAAATATGTATAACTGGAAAAAATAGATTATATGCCAACTTTTAAGTGTTGTGACTTTT